GTTTTGCCACGTACAATGGAATAAAGACATATAGCAATAATGGTTTATTTTAATGACAATTGGTATTGTTGTCATAGGGCTAGGTATTTCATTTTATCTGTAATGTCTCTGGTAGGACTTCAAAATTAGTATTTATAAATATGACTCTGAAAAAGCGTCTTGTTTTAAGGTATGGTGCTTTGGGAGACCAAAAAGAGTTAAATTATTGCCTGTCAGTCGCTTGAATCATCTCCCATGATCCTTTGCAGCATGCTACTGAAATAAACTTTAAGATAACAAATAATCAATTTGTGCTTATGGATGGACTCCATCACTCATTTGAATTACTGGCTTTTATTTAACCTTTTTGTAAGTATTGTGCTTATTTTATTTTCTCTGCAGATATATAAACTATAATATTATTATTTCGCATCACGTCTCAGTCCGTAATTGGTAAATGAAAGGATTTTTTTCATGTGTATCCATTAAAATATTCATTACCATTCAATTTACATGTACAAGTATGTCTTGTTTATATTTGATTACTTTAACTCAAAAAGATAATCCTGTATATTATCTGTCTGCATTACGATAATAAACCCTGAAAAAAAAAAACATGAAAACTGTTTTAGTGTTTGCTCAAATGTCTTAGAATTAATCTGCTCACCTAAATATTTGCCGTTTCCAATATCATTCATCACTAAAATTGAAAAAAAAATCTTTGTCTGAATTTTGAAATCTTCGAAAAATCAAATTTAAATATCTCATGATTTTATAAATAGTGCATTTTGTTAAAGCACATATGTATATGTACTCATTGAAAGTTTGGGTCTCAATACTTTGGGCTTTATTAACGTCTCATCAATACAAACATACTGGTATAATATATGGCTCAGAAAGAACAAATTGTATTTCAAATTATCTAGGTCTGAAAAATTACTTTTTTGACAAAGAAGAAGGAATCACACAGGAATTGAACTGTGGAATCTGGAGGGCACTCAGTTTCAACGTCAGATCTGATAAAAATGCCTTGAAGTCATTCATAATCCTTTGGTCTTTTGACTAGTTCCCTGGAAGCTTTCTGATTGGTGTATTTGCAAGCGACAGAAAATATAACAGTGAAAGGTTTCTACACTAGTAGTTGCTACCAGGTGCTTTAAAGAGTATCAGTGGTATTTACATACTAATCTTATAAGCTGTGTACTCTCAGGTATCATTCCTAAAGTCTGGGTCCCTGGGAATAGGATGGAAAATGTATGATGGTCTAATTTGATGCGAATTGAGGAGAATATGTTTGCGATCGTGGTTTGAATTCAATTTGCTAACACTTTTCAAAAGTGTTTCAATGTGCATGGAAATGCAAAGATTCACTTCCATTCCTGAATGACTGTGACCTGTAGAACAAAACTGAATCCACGAGGATCATCAAATACAGTGTACCACAGTTTATGCCTTCACATATTTTACATAATATCAATTCTCCCTAGTAGTAAAACTCGATCAAATTTCAAAAATATACTAGGTACCATAGAGAAATATTCACTTGGTTAATTATTTATGTTGCACAGATATTCCTTTGGTTTTAAATTCAATAGATTGAGAAGGAAAGAAATACTATTGTTAAATTAAAATGTTCAGTTGATTTTAATTTAGCTCATTTTTTTTAGCAATAAACGAAATAAAGTGGTAATAAAACCCAGTGAATAATTAAACAGTAGGCACATCAGTAGCATGTGCGTTTACTTACATAAATGATAAAAAAAAAACATATTTTAATGATCAAGCATAACATTATTTTTTTATTACTGTAAAATGCATTAATTATTCACTGTCTTTTAATTTCACTTTTTTCGCTGATAAGTAAAATCAACTAAATTAAATTTACCTGAACATGTAAAAAAAAAACAATAAAATTCATTGTTTTCTTTGGAAATTCATGAAATTAAAACAGTGAATATGCTTAAAAACATCATAATAATGAAATTAAATGTCAGTGTAAATAAATGGTTTTACAGAAAATGGAATTTTTGGTTGATGTGTACTTCGACGGTCTGTTTCTAATAGAAATAGTATAGTAAATGCATTCTATTTCTCTTTGTAATGTAAGAAGCTCAGTAGCTATTAAATGTGTTGTGATTGTATACAGAATACCTTGTTTGAAGCATACTGCTGGAAATCTTGGTATATATATTTTATAGCTACTTATGTCAAGTTGTCTTTGGTTGGTACATAGATTTAGCTCTTGATGAAACTAGTCAATGATTTTCTGGCTATGAGTACATGTATGTATGCAAGTCCTTATTTGTTCGATTTTATGTAAGATTTTCAGCATAAATTTTGATCGATACTAGTCAGTATTTTTTAATTAACATTTAGTCTGTGATCTGCAAACCTGGATTTTTAGAAACGCTTTCATATTTCCCACATTCAAAGTAAATATTCATTGAGAGTACATGCATATTTTGCCTACCCCTGGGTATATTACTTATTTATTAAACTCGTATGTACCATATTTTTATATTTAAGTACATTGCTTAAATACATGTACCGGTACATGCGGAAGTGCATGTAAACCAACAAATACAACATTTTTTGTTGTAGGATTATAATAACCTGACTTATTTTGACCACAAACACATCTATGTTAGCAAATGCACTACTAATAGACATTGAATGAAATTATTTCTCTTATTTCTGTAGTACCCCCAAAAAACGCTAGCCTTTTTCAACCTGGGTGCTGTATGGGATGATCGCTTGATCTTCAGATTTGAAAGAGCCACTATTTTCAAAATCAAAATTGCAGAATTGTACAGAGAAAGACACCAATGCAAATTCGTTGGCAATTTGCTTCAAATCCTGTATGGTGTGTGGTGCTTATTGATTTATCCTAATCAGTGTTCTCCCCAGACTTCATGTCAAGCATCACGGCCAATTTGCATAACAATGTATCTAATTTGCATAATAATCAGTTTTTCCCAACAAATATTGTCAATCTACAATTAATTAAAGACAAGATATTTTTATATCCGATAAATTTTACATCATTTTACTGCATTGTATTGTTTGTTTTTGTATCAAGTCAAATAAAGTTTGAAATGGAACATCATAAAAAGGAAAAAAAAATTGAAAAACTTGTGTTATAGCCAGTCAGTGAATATACCGGTACTGTTATCCATGGATGTAACTGGTTCATCATTGTGTATAAGTTTTAGTGCCCATGTCACTGTCGGTTCATATAAACGTCGGGGAAAACATTTTTTGGTTAAATATATAAAGTCGGCAAGATATCGAAATATGTTGAAATTAATAAATCAATAATTAAAAAAAAATTCTACAATGGCAGTTCGGCGATTTTTCATTGCAATATACCTTGTGAGTACAACGCTACGATCACCGTAACATTGTCAGCTGACGGCATTGCGTTGGACGGGTATTCACCGCTGCTATTGCGATCATCGGTATCTGACTTTTTGGTGTGAAATACACAAATTGTTTCTTAAAACGATTCATTGATGATTATCATAAGCATTACATCTAAATTGCCAACGAGATGTTGTTTTTAAACATCGCGGAAAATCATGCATTCTGCGCCGCCATCTTTGTTACCTCGATCAGAACCCCTGATAGCCCAGCATGCATCGGTCACAATGTTGCAACGTGCATTATGTCGCCTTAGGGCGGCGTTTTTCTGTACTAAGGTACCCTATGAATGGGGTATTTCCAGAGGTCAGAGTTTGTTTTGTCTCATCCCGTCTCGTCTGCTGTTGAATTATTCATACTTTTCTTTCCAATGCGACTTAATTTCACTTGTTCTTTTTTTAATTTTGGAGTAAATAATGTCACCAGCGATTGAGTGATAACAAATCAGAGTGCAGCAAATCGGGGTTGATCTTCCCGACGTACGCCGTGACTTGTTTTGTCACATTGTTGCCGTTGCATGCAATGGGCAAATTATTGCTATTCTAGTTATTTTTTTTTTGATTTGGAGGCTCTGCACCTTTGAAAGACTTCGCAACATATTGCAGACTTCCGTTTTTATCACTGTCTTTGTATGGCTAACAAAAGCGGGATTACCTAAATCGATCAATACATGTTATTGTTTTAAATACGTGCAAGACGAGACTGACACTTGTAAACAAAAATATAAGCATCACGGCTGAGTGACCAAGCGTCACGGACAAAGGGCAAGCATCACGACCGAGTGTCCAAGCGTCACGGTACCGTGTCGCTTCAGAGGCCTGGGGAGAACACTGGGCTTTGAACTAGGGTGTTCAAAGGGCGCCCATTTATAAGGCACTATTTAGATAGATTGTGTTGTCGTATAGGAATAAGAATTAAGAATCTGTATATTTTGAAGGCACTGAAAAATAAGTTTTGATGCCTCTGAAGTTTTAAGCTCAACTCATCAACAAACTAATTGTATCTGCATTTCTATATAGAAGGGCTCAAAATAATTACATACTGTAGAATACTTTATTTTCGCTTGGAATTTATTTTTGCTATTTTCGCCGAAGGGATGATTCCATGAAAATAAAATCTAGCGAATATACCTTTTTTCCTATATTTCACATTAAACTCATCAAAAATCAGTGAAAATAAATTCCATACAAAATGCCCAAAAAGCCTTTTCAGCGAAAATTAATTCCAGCAAAATTAAAGTATTCCACAGTACATGTATAAAAATATAC